TTTTCCAGATCTTCATTATCTCACTCTTAAAATATTCCATTAGTCTCCTAACTTGAGATCACCAACTGTGTCATATTACCTTTGTATCTCCCACACAAATCATAGGGCCTGGCACTGAGCTGCTGCCTAATAATGGCTGTCAACTCTAAATAATGTCTCTGCCTCCAATCCATTACACACGGCCACCAGACTTATCTTTCTAAAATGCTAGTTTGTACATGCCACACCACTACTCAGCATTTTAATGGCTTCTCACTGTCTATGGGATAAAGTCTAAGTGACTTTAGCTGAGCACTGGCAGCTCTATACAATATCATTCTACTATTTCTGTGAATATCCGCTCCAGTTAAACTGTACTAGTGGATACTCCTCTTTCATTCATCTCACAAATATTTGTTGTGCATCCCAGGTACAGTCCTAAGCCTTAGAGAACAGAATGAAGTACAACACAGTTCTTGCTCCTTATAATGTAGTATTTGTGTTCTCCTAATATATCCTAAGTATTTCTACTTGTGGTGGTTCTCCTTAAGAAAGAATGCCTTTCTTGCCCTCTCAACATATTTGAATACTACAGTCAGCACATATGGACAGTCCCTAAATGTGGAAATTAAGTTTCTTTTGGAAGATGAAACTAGTAAGACCAGACAAGTAACAGATAATAAACAACATCTACCGTTTACTGAGTACTTACTGTGTGGCAGGTATTGTGCCAAGTGGTATTATTTTATTTCATTTACTCCCCATGGCCTCTTGAGATAGGTACTATTACAGTCCTGTGACAACTCAGGATCAAAGATAATTTGTGTAAGTTCACCCAGTTAGTAAATGATGGATAAAAATCCAGATCTATTCCAAAGCCCAAGATTTTAACTTATGCTAAACTGCTTGACCTAATCTAGAAGATGGTTTGTAAATCACATTTGGGGATACCCAAGTCCAAGGTGACTAAGCTGTTTTAGCTGCCTCTCTGGCTAAACTTTAGAGTTCCTTCAAGGTCTATTTGCATCCCCAGTGTCTGACACACAGCAAATTCTGTATTTATTTATTTATTGCTGCTTATGTACATCATCATAATTACTCACAATGTTAAAAAAATATTTGGGCAATGAATTATGCTGGGTGATATCTTTGGAGATCATAAAAGATTTGTTTTGAGCTGATGTAAAAGAAGTATTAACAATTTCTGAAACCTTCCCTTGACCCATGATTCTCTTTTGAACCAGAGACAGGGAACTATACAGTGACGGGATTGAAACAAAGACAACACTCTGAGTTCAGCCATAATAAAGGCACTCTCAGTTCAGGCTTCCTACAAGAAAAGGTCTGGGTGATGCTGGCCACCAGCCTGGTGGCCTTTCAAGGTATGTCCAGAAGAGCCCTAAGCATCCCAAGCAATGAAGGCACTATTCCTTTGCCAACTTGGTTATTCCCCAGGAGGAGAGGATTGGAAAGGAAGCCCAGAGAGAGAAGGAAACACTCCTCAAGACTTGGCTATTCAAACCAATCTGGTAGAAGGTCAGACCTGTTAGAAAAGAAGGCCTGTGGGAGAGGCAAGTAAACACAGCTTCCTCTACTAGCTAGATCAACAGAGGGCCACAAGTTGAGACAACAGATCTTTAGCTATTATGT